GGCGCCCCCTTCTCCTTGTGCCCTCCATCTTTCCCAACATCAGGGTCTTTTCTAGGGAGTCTTCTCTTCTCATGAGGTGGCCAAAGTATTGGAGCCTCAGCTTCACGATCTGTCCTTCCAGGGAGCACTCAGGGCTGATTTCCTTAAGAATGGATGCATTTGATCTTCTTGCAGTCCATGGGACTTTCCAGAGTCTCCTCAGCACCATAATTCAAAAGCATCGATTCTTCGGCGATCAGCCTTCTTTATGGTCCAGCTCTCACTTCCATACATCACTACTGGGAAAACCATAGCTTTAACTATGTGGACCTTTGTTGGCAAGGTGATGTCTCTGCTTTTTAAGATGCTGTCTAGGTTTGGGCGGGTTACAAAGGAGAATTTCTGGTGCCCCAATCAAAGGCCCAATCCTATTTAGAACAGGTCACGTCTCTCCCTCTTTTCCAATTCTACCAATGAAACCTGGTGGAGGTTCAGCTGGTCCAGTGATTAGAAAACACTTGCTTTGGAGTGATGGTTCTGCGGAACGTTTGAAGACGGCGGAGCTCCTACGATTTCTCTCGCGCGAGAAGTATTACATGAAAGCAGCTGCACAGTGCAAACACGCTCCAAAGGGCACTTTCCCCCAGAAGTTGCAAAAATGGCGTCATCAGAAGTTGCTCCTAACTCTACTGCAGGCAGCTATCTCCTTAAGGCAGCCAGGGCTGACGTTGCGACCCAATCATGCTTTTTTCCAAAAAAATCTCTCTAGATACATACTTTTTAAAAAAAATATATTCAACCAGCACTTTATTACAGCTTCAACTGGTGTAGTTTAAGCAGAGATGCCCGGATGCCAAGTGGTGGAACGGAAAGTTAGGGGTATGGGGTAGGAAGGGGGGAGGTTAGAGGGGGGAGGAAGGAAGGGAAAGAAAAGAGGAAACTCTGCAGGAAACAGATTTAAGCAATTTAAATGTTTTATAAGTTTTTTTTTGTAATTGAGGAAACTTTTCATAATCTGACATTTGTTAAAAAAAAAAAAGAGCCCACTTATTAGAAATTATGCAGCAGAGAGGGCTGTGGAAATATGAGCTCGCTTCACAATTATGAAGGCAGGCTAGGAAGCCCTCCTCTATTGTGTGAAGTGGCATAAACCCCACAGAGGGGCCTATCAGCTCACTAACAGGCGGGGGGCTGCGCCTTTCAAAGTGAGAGATACAAGCTTCAGGGCAAAAACCTGCCAGCTCCCTTCTGACCCCGCAATCCCCTACTGGTGACAGATCCAAGCTCCATAGCAAATTAGACCTTCTAACATTACAATTGCAGAAGACAGATTCCATTAGCGGTATCTGAAATTGAGTGGAGAGCAGCCGCGTTATCAGACCTGACTCATAAGCGGTGCTATTAATCAGAGCTATGATAGCATTTATATATTTCAAGCTATCTGCCTCGGCTGTGATATTCGGCTACAAAGGGTTGATGGGACTTAGGGACGGGGACAATGGAGCTTTCTTGGAAAAGCAGAGTAAATCAAGAAAGTCTATGACTTCCGCACATTCTGAAGGGATTGCGGTTTACATAAATTTTCTCCCAATTGGAGATTGAGCTCTTCCCCATCTTACACATGGGATTTAGTTGTCACTCAATGGGAACAGCTGTGAAAAGGTGAAGCAGCCCACCGTTCAGAATACTGCCTCCGCTTTTAAAGCAATTAACCCGTGAACAGGAGGGTACCTGGCGATATCAAGAGGATTAGGCCAGGCAGCGCTTTATTAACATTTCCTTGAACTAATTCTAACTCTGACTAGCTGTCACGAAAGACTCCCTTTTTTGGGGGGGGGGAGAAAATTAAGGGTGGGAGGGGGTGCGCTGGCCTGCTTTTTTCTTTCCAACACCCCCCTCCCGGCTCCCAAAAATGAAGCATGGATCCTTGAGTCTAACAAAAAAACCAAAAAACCAGCATCTGCAAAAAAAATTTTTTTAAAGCAAATGCAAATGAGAGAAATCGGTTAAGGTCCCTATAAAGTCTAATTCAATGCAACTTTGCTGCAAGTGAGAGAGAGGGGGGAAATATCTCTCCGTGTGTGTGTGTGAGAGAGAGAGAGAGAGAGAGAGATCAATTAGCCAAGGGGTCACGGTAGATAGTCTCCTAAAAGGGAAATTAATACAAGAGCTTTCTACAGCCTATTATTCCACACCCCCACTTTGCTAAAACTTAGAAGCTACTTGTTACTTAAGTATTAGCTGCTCCCGAAATTATAAAGAGCCTTGCAAGAACCTCAGACAAAGGGGAATAGTCTAATCTGGGAGAAATGTACCCAAATATACCTTAAATCGGAAGATTCCGCGCTCCCTTTTCAAAGCGCGGCGTTTTAATTTTCTGCTCGTCGGTGAATGGGATGATGGTCAGAGATACAATGTTTGAAGAGAATAAGCTCTGAGCTTAAAGAGTAAAGTCTCCATTTGCTCCAGGCTGGCATATGAAAGCAAGGGAGACACCCCGGCAGGTGGAAAATCTGATCAATTAATTTGCCTGACAGTAGGCAGGTAAGGATTCTTTCGGGATTGGGGAGGGGGGGGGGAGAATTGATACAGCGGCCTCACCAGGCCATAGAAGGAAGGAGCCAAAACTGCATGGTCAAACAAAGGCAAGCACCCTCAAATTCTGCGAAGAAAGCCGAACAATTCCTCAAACGAGCCACAAGTTTATAAAAGATCGAGAGGTGGCTGGGAAAGGGAATATAAATCCAAATTGGGAGTCAACTCGTCCCGTTTAAACTCAGGATCCGAGAGCTGCAAAATGGGTGCATTGCAAACTCGAAGCAAAGAGCTAGCCTTTCGCTTTAGCAGCCCAGCGGACTGTGCCTTTAAACCAAATTTACCTTCCGATTTCTACAGTTCCGGCTTAACTTTGGAGAAGCCGCCTTGGCCCCCCCCCCCCCGTGGCCCCTCCACAGCATATTTAAGATTCCTTTCACTTCAGGGTAAGGGGGGGCGAAATGTCAGTGCTGTTCTGTGACTTTCGGCTGCGGGTGCAAACTGGCAGGAGCATCGATGTGGCTCGTCAGCTGCCCTGTGGACGCCTTGCTTTTATTTTAGATGAGCCATAAGTCGTGGCTTCCGCTTCAAGAGTTTCCACACGCCAAGAATGAAAGCTAAAAATTAAGGGAAAGAGGGCAAAGCTTCCTCTTGCTACGTATTTCTACCTAGGAAAAAATGTAAACGTCTCCTGCCATAATATAAACGAAAGAGAATTTTGTAGTGGTTTCGCCCTTCACACACACAAGCAAAAAGTTAACGTTTGCTTTTAATTTATGCTCTTGTCCTCTCCTGAATACACACACAGGCAAAACAAACATGAGGGTGGCCTTATAGCCTAACACCCATCTTGCAGTTTCAAACCTGGATGGAATGAATTATAACTTTCCACTTTGGGAATGCAGGTTAATGTGAATTTATTTCTTTTCGGCAGTCTTGGGAGAACACAACATTCTCCAGTACAGTTGCAAAACCTTAGGAAGAGGCATTTTGTAAAAAAGAATTACATCCCAGGTCTGCAGATTTCTGCTTTTTCCCCTTTCTTCCTCCATGTGCAATGCAGCACATGTTTCACAACGGCTAAAATGTGTATTGCTAAACACCCTATAACTCCATCCCTGCTTAACGGAAAGAATGCAAGCATTTCACTTAGGAGGAAGAATAAGCAAATATTATGGCTCATCTAAGATTCTATAGAACTTTTGCTTTCAATGATGTTGGAACTCACAGGTAGATAACACTTTTGTTTTTCCACTTCTTCGTTATTTGCAAAGGGAATCCTGGTATGAGTCAATACTTTAATTATTCTTTTGTGCTATTATCTTTGTACTTTTCCACTTCCACTTTATGTTTTACATTTCTGATTCTTCGCTTACTTTATTTTCGTTGTTTGAACTTCCGGACAAATAAATAAAAATATTTTAAAAAATAAATAATAAAATAAAATAAGTGAGGGAATTAATGCATATGGGTTGTATTGGGCAACCATTGCAACATTTGTTTTGAAAGGGCTGAAACCTTAGCATACAAAACATAAAAAGGTGCCCCCTCCTCAAAAGGAAAAAGGAGATGGGGAACCAGCACACCCACGCAAACCAATTCTGTCAAAAGGATATCTAAAAAAATTTAACTGGCATTAAAAAAACACAAAAAAGTTAAAAGATGGAAATTTCAGGAGCCGAGTCGTTTTAAACCAAATCAGTAACATCTGTTAAAAACAGTGGTTTTCATATCAAATCTGCTCACGCAGAAATTGAAGTGATAAAAATTAAGGAGATGACTAAAAGAGATTTTTCTGGGAGGGAATTCCTATTTCAGGCAAGAAGTATAGATGGAAACTGGAAGGCGGTTGTTTTTTACGTTCACATAAAAGTGGGGGGGGGGGAGGGAGGGAGTCCTAAATACCTGGCAGAATTCAAACCATGATTAGAAGAACAAAGTGTCAGAATACAGTTAACACTAATCCCGCGTGTAGAACAATGTCCTCTTAAGTGGGAATGAATGAAACTATTGTACGAATCAAAAAGCCTCCTTCAATTAAGCATTAAAATGAAACTATCTTGACCCGAAAACGAAGAGGAAAACTTGGGGAAGATGCCTCAAAACACAACGCTGGACAAAGGACCAGAATCTGTTAAAAGAACTGATTTACATAGCATATACAGAGAGGAAATTGTGGAAAGTGATGGCGGGGGGGGGGGAGAGATGGTTCGTTGGTTGGTTATAAAACAACAGAACCAAATTAAAATAATACACACAAAAAACAAACAAAAAATGCCAGCGAGAAGCCAAGCAACGATTCTTTACTGTACTCAACTGTCAGCGCCGCAAACAGCCTCCGTGCGCTTATATGCGCACGAAAGGAAAAAGGTTTCCAGAAGGTTAAGTTCAGGTCATGCAACAAATGAAATTGTTAACAACCCCAACTGACACTGTATAATGTCTTCTTCTGCCAAATCAATAGGCCGCTCTCGGCTCCAGATTACCATAGAGATGGTCTGCTCCTTTCTGAAGGGTGCCTATTGTCTGAGGGGGGAAACAGATTTGCCACTTGAACTGCCGTTGTTCCCCGGAGGATCTGCACTTCATTAATTATTTGCTGCCTTAAAAAAGGGGGGGGGGGGAAGAAAAGCGACAGACTTTCCGTATATTTGCAAGCACCTATTGGGTTACAGAAGGAATTTGAGATATATATTTTTCTTGTTTCTGAGCCCCACCACCCAAAAGAGATCCCGGAAGACTTTTTTAAAGGTCATTCTGCAATATGCAAATATAGGGGGTTGATATCGTATTTGGAGACGCCTCAGGGGTGTCTAGAACTCAGTTGCACCCACTCCCACCACCCTCAAATGACGTACCTTGGAATTCTGCAACCTGGTGCACGGCCAGATGTTTTGGACTGATGGGAGTTGCATTCCAAAACATCTGCAAGGTACCAGGTCAAGAAAAGCTGCAGTAACTATTTCCTGAATCTATTTGGGTAGAAGAGCAGAAGGCAAACTCTTTAGGCACTTAAAATAAATTTAAAAAGCAAGAATGTCCCAAAGGGACTTCAAGCATTCCTGTGGCTGTTCTACAGCGAGTCATTTAGACTTAATTTCACTATATATATATAAAAAAGAGTTTATCACAAGGTAGGGGAATGCATGTAAACGACAGCTGAGGTACGTGTGGTCTGCAACCCACAGTGACAGCGCAACATCACAGCGTACAACGTCCCGCAAACATTGCTGGAGTGGAACACTTCTGTGGCTTATTGTCAGAGCTGGCTGTACAAATGTGCTGGATGTTGCGATCTATGTCTGCCTTTGGTGTTCAAAACCCATTAACGTGGCAGGAAAGCCCCGTCCTCAAATTGTAAAACTCCAGAGAAGGCCTACTAGCTGCAGAGAGCTGGGACAGAGTGGGTGATCTATAAGAAGTTGCGACTGCACCCCTCCACTGCTGTTCTGTGGGTGTATTCTGCAACGTTATCGCTGATGCAATAAAAGTGCATTACCGGTGGGTTTTTTAGTGGACAGTCCAAGCACCCTTCTGAGTTAACAGTTGCTCTGTAATGCTTCCCAAGGGACGCGGGTGGCGCTGTGGGTTAAACCACATAGCCTAGCACTTGCCGATCAGAAGGTCGGCGGTTTGAATCCCTGCGACGGGGTGAGCTCCCATTGCTCGGTCCCAGCTCCTGCCAACCTAGCAGTTCGAAAGCATGTCAAACTGCAAGTAGATAAATAGGTACCGCTCCGGCGGGAAGATAAACGGCGTTTCCGTGCACTGCTCTGGTTCGCCAGAAGCGGCTTAGTCCTGCTGGCCACATGACCCGGAAGCTGTACGCCGGCTCCCTCGGCCAATAAAGCGAGATGAGCGCCACAACCCCAGAGTCGGTCACGACTGGACCTAATGGTCAGGGGTCCCTTTACCTTTACAGCACGATTGACGTCTAGAGCGGCACCCTTGCGCTGGAGCGCAAAGAAGGTGGTCCAAAAAAAACAACAAATTAAAAACCTGGAACATTCGTGGTTCATTCTGCAGGAAACTACAGGACACACACGGATTGGAAACGAAACACTTGGATTTATTGGGTATATGAATAATTATTGTAAAAATGTGAAGACACTAGCAGGACTGATATAAACTCTGTGAAGAAAAATCGTAAATTCTAAAACCTTTTGACCAAAGAGACAGAGTTGACTATAAGGATATAAAGGTCAGAGGTGGAGGATATAAAGTGTGAAACAAAGACTTGAAAATAAAAAACCTGTTGAAGGGATGGAGGGAAGTCACAAGCTCAGTAGAGCAAAGAATTTATTTGCTTTGTTATTGGTATGTTGAACTATTGTGTTAAAAAGAAATTAATATGAAATGTATTTTTTAAAAAGGAAATGAAACAGTTGGTCTGCCCCAAAACCTTTTAACAAAACAGTGATTGCCCCAAATACTGTCATAAGCAGAAATCATCATGAATGCACACTAAAAAGGACAGTTAAAAGAGCCTTATTGACATGTTCCTATAAGACCGGGTTTGTGGATGTGGTGTGTAAAACAAAAAAATGGTCTTCAAGATATTTGAATGACACATTTGGCCACTCTTTTCCAGTAAATACATCCCCTAATATTATACAGAGTTTCAAATGCCTGGTGTCTGAGGCATGAATTGTTAATGCCCTAAAAGAGATGTGTGTTTTTTTAAAAACCTCCCAAAATTAGCTTGCCATTGCGATTTTATTTTCAATTTACCTGTTTATTATTTTTCTCTTTCTGCTGTAGGACAACAACAACCACAAAAAACCCACACGCAAATGTAATTCCTTCGTAAGGCTTCATCCTGTGATGTTTAGAATAAACAGAGGATGAGGACGTATCCTTACAAAGAGAGGCATTACTAGGAATGCATTAGAGATTAATATAAAATAAAATGTATAGACGAGGGGATTTCTGCCCCCTCGCCCCCCTGCGCCACCACTAATGGAACTTGGGAGTATTATTATTTATTCTTCTCCAACATTAGGCTCAATGCTGCTCCCAGCCGATATGACAAAAGCACTCTTTGCCTTGAGAATTCGTGCTTTATATATTTCCTTCCGAAAAGCTTTGGGGCCCTTTCCCCATATTATTGCTATTAACCCTACTCCTTTAACGACGCTGAAAATTAGTTAAGGATGAATTATCTGATAGGGGAAGCCCCTATTCATGAAATATTAGAGAGGTGTACTTAAGCAAATAAGGCACTGAAGGCTGCTGTGCCCAAAGGCACACAGTATGTAAAACATTTATCACAGCCTAGGAGCAGCCAGCCAGCCAGCGAGAGCGCCGAGTCCACCAGGCGCTTTTCCCTGAACAGCCTTGCATCTCTTTCAAGGAAGCCTGGCAGGAGTGCTTGGCGGAGCAGGCCTGGGTTTCAAGCAATGTTAATTCTTATTTGGTAGAAAAGAAAATGTGTAATGAGGATCTTCAAAGGAGGCTGGCTGCTCCCCTCTCTGCTTGCAGGAGGCTGTTCACGCACAAGCCCCGCAAAGTTCCCTTTCCCTTGAAATTTCACTCGCAAGGAATTAAAGGGTGGCTGATCTAAGGTGCCCGGTCTGCCTCCGAAACAAGTCGTCTGCAGAAAGCGGCGTTTGGCATTTCCCTAGGAAAGCCCCAGAGCCATAAAAACGAGCATGGCTACGTACTGCTGGCATTTGGATGTGGGCGGCTTGGGGGTTCAGCGCATCACCCAGCCATGAAATTTTCCATTGAATATCCCGGGGCAACTTGGTAGCGGTTGGCCTCAGTTCCACGCCCATTAAACGGGATTATTAAGGGTGGGTGGTTTCCGCCCCCGAAAAATGAATGGAATAAGGATTGTCAAAGCACTCCTGAGCTTTGAAAGCAATATAGGAATGGTTAATAATGAATAACGGGGGTTCTAAATAAGAGGAGCCACCTTTGAGAAAGCCTGCCCACGGGCAGTTGGGCAAGGCCAACGCATTGCCATCGAACTAAATAATTTGCTAGCATGATAGGGTTGGGGAGCAGGGAGAGAATGTTATGCTTTATTTGAAGTACCTTCGAAACTGCCCCTGTACAGAAATACTCATAAACCTTCAGTTTCAGTTGGAAAAATGATTGGTTTACCTGCACACCCATACCAGTCCAAGAAACCTCTCTTGGCAGAGTTATAGCCAAACAAAAACTGCATTTTGATGTGGGTGAGACAGCCTTTGCCGATTTGGCACAGTCCCAAGGCAGGGTTTCTTAAAAATTGCCTTGACACTGGTCTTGTTCGCATGTAACACTAAGCCATGGTTTGTTTAAGAAATCACATCCCACAGATGATCAAACAAACAAACGCTGGTTTCTCCAAAAATCTGGTTTGTTTCCCAGCTGCTCTTGCATCAGTGAGGGATGAGGTGGAAAAATGATCAGTGGTTAAGGGAAGGATTCCACACAGCGGCCAAGCCACGGTTAGAACAAACCAAAGTTCATTGGCACCAAAAAATCACTGTGCCAACAACAAACCATGGTTTCAGGCCGTGGTTTGTTGGCAGGAAACAAACTATTGTTAAGTGGCTAGGCAGGATTAATACAAAATGCTAGGCATGTGCAAAACAGGCTGCTCTCCTCTGCAAAGTCATACAAAAATAGATCACCAAAGCAACTACTCCAGAGTAAGGACTGTGGACAAGCAAATAAATCACATTTATTTCTGCGATTTATTTGTTTGCTTGTCCACACTCCTTACTCTGGAGTAGTTGCTTTGGTGATCTAGTTTGGTATGACTTTGCAGTGTGCCAGTATATCACTGGCCTGTATATTGTTTGTTGAAATGCTCTCCTTTGCAGTATTTATCTCCCTTATACTGTTATCCCCAAGTCATTAAACAAGCCCTATTTCTCTGACCCTTGTCACACATAACAATCCTTCCACAAGAAGCCACAGAGGTGTGGATGCTGCTTCTCCTGTGTCTACTTTATGCATGTGACTGCCCAGGTGGGTGAGGGCTATCATTTGGGTTTTCCCCACCCGGCTGATGCCCAACTGAGAGAATGGGTGAGAGGAAAGACTGATATGACTGGCCTTGGGCCCTAACACTGTGGTCAGTGTGGTTGCATATTGCAGCTACAAATCGGGAAGTCACCAGTTTGAATTCTCTCATTAACTCAACAGGTGGCCTTAGACAAGCATGCCCTTAGATAGAAAAATAGACAGATACCCCTCAGTCCTTCCACCTGTAGCATGGGCGATGTTGACTTATCTTACAGGGTTGCTGGAAGATTTACAAGTAGATAGTGCTCTCAAAGTGCTTTGAACACTTGAAAAAATGGTATTAATTGTAATAACAAGATGATAAGAAGATTAGAAAGGGAAACCAAGTAAGTTGGTAAGAAACCAAGTAAACCCCCAATACAGTGGTACCTCGGGATGCGAACGGGATCCATTCCGGAGCCTCTTTCGCATCCCGAACAGAACGTAAGACGCGACAGTGCGTCTGTGTGTCCGCGGGTCGTGTTTCGCCACTTCCGCGCATGACGTCATTTTGACCTTGAAGTAATGTGCTCCGTTACTTCCGGGTCGCCGCGGAGCGCAACCCGAAAGCGCTCAACCCGAAGCATATTTATCCCGAGGTATGACTGCATAAGCATCCTGAATAGGAACATCACCACGCTGCAACATTTTGCTGCAGCGCCAATTTGTTATCAGCGTACGTAACAGGGGCCACTCGCAGTCTTACGCCGGACATTTGGGAAAGACCCACATGGCTGCCCTCCCTAAATATATCACAATTGCCTGGGATCACAGTAGGGAGGGAGAAGGGGGCAGTCTCCCACCCTGCTGGAAGCGAGTGTGAAGAGGGCCTCAGGTAGCCGGCACCAATTCAGGTATCCACCAGATTCTGGAATCCTCTCCAGGGGAACACAGCTGGCATCTCCAGTGACAGCTTTTAGATGCCAGGCAAAAACACTTCCATCCGCCCAGGCCTTCTGTGGTTAAGCTAGCCCAGGGGTCAGCAACCTTTTCTAGCTGTTGGCCGGTCCAACGTCCCTCAGACCTTGTGGCAGGCCGGACTATATATTTTTTTTTGGGGGGGGGGAGGGAAATGAACGAATTCCTATGCCCCACAAATAACCCAGAGGTGCATTTTAAATAAAAGGACACATTCTACTCGTGGAAAAACATGCTGTTTCCCGGACAGTCCGTGGGCCAGATTTAGAAGGCGATTGGGCCAGATCCGGCCCATGGGCCTTAGGTTGCCTACCCCTGAGCTAGCCTCTACAGCTGTGGTCATCTTTGAGCAGAGTCAGGTAAGGCTTGTCCTTACTGTGTTGTTGGCTGAGGATTTGGGGAATTGTGCGTTGTACGTCGTTGGTTACATTTCTGGCTTTTCGACGATTTTATCGGTTTGTATGTTATCTTCTTGAGTCACCCTGAGTCTGAAACAATTAATATAAACTCCTGTGAGCCCCTGACACCACAGCCAACGGAGTCTGAACTCTCTGGAGGCCACTGGGCTGGCCAAAGCCAGCCCAAAAAGATGGTTTGAACCATCCAAATTACCATTTCTCACCTGTGAGTTAGGATACAGAAAGATGGGGGGGGAGCTAATGTAGTACCATTATTTAAATGTAATTTTGAATTACTGTAGCAGCTGCCACCCTGGGCTCCTTTGGAAGGAAGGACAGGGGTATAAATTTAACAAATAACCAAGCCAGGCCACCCCAAAATGCTTTCTCTTTTGCACATGGTTAGAAGCAGAGAATCCTGCAATGCAAAAAAAGGGAAAGATTGTTCATATTTTCTTGCAAGTCGGTATAACCTGAAAATTTCCTGACACACACTTCCAACTGATGATCTCCCATTTCCACTGCAGCCCCTGGCAATCGAAGCTGCATCTCAATATTATTTGGTCGGTACAGTATTCCAAGTCACTGTACTGTACACACAGGTGGAATAACACAAATGACGCCATCAGCAGGCAGCTGCCGTCCCTTCGTAACGCCAGCAATTAAAAGTTTGCCAGTGCAGTTGATGCATGTATTGTTAACTTATTAAAAAAAAAGACATCTGTGTCTTTTTGTAATGACAAACATTGTTACTTCTGGTTAGATAAACCTGATCAGCATCAACAAGACTGAACAATGTTGCCACTCTTTTGAAATAAATTAGTTGGGTTTTTTCCGGCGGGGGGGGGATATTGTCTGTGCATGTGTTTTTAACTTTTGTGAAGACTCCCAAGGCCCGATACAAAATTTAAATTATATAAACTGTAGCCAGATGAATCAATTAGCAGTTTGCAGCAAGCGCTGGGGTGGAAACTGACAATTCAGCAGCCGTGACGATTCAGCTGAATGTTGTTTTTTGACTTTAATGTAGAGTTGTACAGCTAAACCAAAGAAGGGAAGGGCTTTTAGTATACAGCAGATACAGTGGTACCTCGCAAGATGAATGCCTCGCAAGACGAAAAACTCGCAAGACGAAAGGGTTTTGGTTTTTTGAGTTGCTTCGCAAGACGATTTTCCCTATGGGCTTGCTTCGCAAGACGAAAACGTCTTGCAAGTTTGTTTCCTTTTTCTTAAAACCGTTACTACAGTTGCGACTTGACTTCGAGGAGCAACTCATAGCACGCGGTGTGGTAGCCTTTTTTGAGGTTTTTGAAGACTTTGGTGATTTTTGAAGCTTTTCCAAAACTTTTCCGACACCGTGCTTCGCAAGACGAAAAAAACCGCAAGACGACAAAACTCGTGGAACGAATTAATTTCGTCTTGCGAGGCGCCACTGTATTTCCTTGTGTGCGCCGTTTGTTTAAAGCAAAACAGTTCACGGAATGTATCCCAATTAATGTAGATTGATTGCAGATATTATTATTGTTTTGGAAGGCAATTTATGAATGACGTTTTCCCACTAAGGATATGACTACGAACGACAATAAGGTTAAAAGAAAGGGAGAAAGAGGAAGTGGGTATAGAAGGGAGGGAGGAAGAAACAAGCAGGAAATTGAGAAGGGAAAGGAAGGGGATACAAGATTAATAACTAGATCAGCTGCTTACTTCTAAAATCAGGGGGAAGGGCCGTAGCTCAGAGGCAAAACATCTGCTTTGCATTCAGAAGGTCCCAGGTTCATTCCCAGGCTTCTACCGGTAGGACTGGCAGAGACTCCCTGCCTGAAATGCTGGAGAGCTGCTGCCAGCCAGTGTTGACAATACTAAGCTAGATGGACTCAGCAGAAGGCAGCAGCCTATGTTCCTAAGATCATGCCCCAACGCCCCCAGGAATTCAGTCCAGGGTACGCTCTTGCAGGGATGTTTCAAAACGAAATGCTTTATGCTTGGGGATTTGCGGGGCCAGCAAATGCACATGCCTCGGCTAAATGCACATCCAGGGTGCATGCTGAGCTCTGCCGGCCCCCAAAGGCTCCCCTCCTTCATAGGCAGGCAGTGCTAGCTCTGCTTAAGCAAACGGAACACGCCACGGAAAAGCAGTCCGAGTGCAGGGACTCCAAATTCAGGCAATGGGTACTCTGCCTAGTATACCCCATTTCCCCACAGGTGAGAGTGGCAACCAGGATGAGTGCAAAAGCTGTACAATCTGCATGGCACACTTTGCCCTGCTGATACATGGGCTGGGCGACATCCAGTTTCCAACGTCGTGATATATCACCAGCTAAACACCGCGATATATCACAATGTCTGAAATAAGGATGGAGCTACGCAGAGGCAGAGGCTGGCGTCACGGTTTTTCCTACACTGTGATTTCTGCGTGGCAGACACACCCACACACCACGGTTCACAATACACTGCCCGGTCAAAAATGAACGCCCACCACGATTCGCGATATCTTGCCGGGTCCAGAACGATGAAACCTCTATCACGATATAGACTTCAAATACCGGGTTGGGGACGATATATCAATACAGAGCTTCCCGAACCTTGCGTGCTGGTGACGCACTTTTTAGACACACATCGTTTCGCGGCACAGCAATTCAGTTTGGCTAGCAAACCACCGGGCCGCTCGCTCCCTTTCCAGCCCCGGGGGGAGCGCAGGGAGCATTTGAACGACACACCTACACACTGCAGCCGACACACAAACATGTCGTGATGCATCGTTTGGAAAGCTCTGTGTCAATAGACTGCCCAGCCCTACTGATACGGTGGATTTCCATTTCCCAAAGTGTCTGGTTTGTTCCGTAACCCCAAGCAGGCAGCTTCCACGAGGGAGCATCCGCCAGCTTCCGCTTCTGGAATGGAGCCGAGATGCATTAGGGCAGACCGAAGTTAGTTCTCTGATGCTCTGTAGTTTTTTCCACAATCGACTGAGCTTGGGATCCAAAGGCCAGCTTAGACTCATGCAAGGGACCTGCGCTAGCCCTGCACAATTTTCGACGTCCCCTGTCCCCGCCGCTTTCCCAAAACTGAATCCCCAAAACACCCATGTTACAAACTGTTCTTGAAACTCCTTCGGTGTTTCAGAAGCCATTTGCCGCTCCAGGAAAGCAAGGAGATGGGGGGTGAGGAGTCCTCCCTTGGAATCACACAGAGCTAGAGCCATGTCCTGTCAAGCCCGGCCTTCACCCAGAAAATTATGCATTTTGTTCGGTTCTGCATGCACAGCCTGTCACGGATAGCAGCCACTGCCGCCGCCGCTGCTGCTTTTGTGTCGGGGAGAAGCTCATCTCCACAATTAAAGATCCTACCCAGTAACTGCAGATCCCAGAAAAGCAGGGGGGAAATATATACCAGCAGCATCTACTTTACCTGGCCACGGTGTAAAAGAAAAATGGCGCTGCGGCGGCTCCGAGCACAGCGCAGAGCAGGTTCACGCGGAAAGCGACCGAGCCGAAAGGGAGCAGCTCAATTGCCAGTTTAGCCAAAAGAGTGAAAAGAGGATAGCCTGGGGGGTGAGCAACCTAGGAGGGAAAAACAAACAGAGAAGGCTTTGCAGTGAAGATGTCACACAAGGGCTGTCTGATGGAGAAATAAGTGCCTTATCAGCCTCATAATAAACACACAAGTCAGAGCACAGTCTCTTTTTTTAAAAAAGCAGATTTTCTCCCCCACCCCTTCTCATCTCATCTTGTCTCTCTAAAGTGCCAATTCTAAACTTTGCAGAAATATTTGCCTTAGTGGATTTGCTACACTCATCAAGGAGATGAATGCACCACTTAAGAGATGTGGTGGGACTCGTCGCCATTGTCCTTTAAATGGCTTGAAGTTTGGGTTCATAATATATTAGGGTCATTCAAAAGGCTGGGATTCCAAATATATATACATGCACATATACGATTCGACCAAAATAGAGAGAAAGAACAGATTCTGAACTATTTTATTGGTTAGCGAGCTGAAAGACCACACTGCTATCGGATTACCACCGCGATGACAGTCCTAAGGTCTCGCCTAAAGGGGATCACACGCCGTAATAAAAGTTTATTAAATAACAAAACTTATTAAAATTGTTAACCCGATTTATTTTATTCTCCCCAGCTTATACAAAATTTGGGTTGATAATAAGCCAACTACTGTATATACAGTAAAGCCTTTGCTTTATAATTTAGTTTAATTGGATTTAAAACTTGGGAGTAAATTGTCGCGTGCTGTACTTATAAGTTAGCAAAAACTGTGGTTTGAAAATAAATTAATCTACTTTAACTCCATGCTTAATTAAACTTCCTTAATTCCTAAAACTGTTAATGAGAGCATTGATTAAACAATAAAACTAATACTTACTCCAAGCTCATAGGCGGCTGTGATCAGCTCCCCTGTGAAAAAATAATGTAAAACCAATAATTACTATTAGGGAACGACACTCCTCCCAAGTTTTGAAAATCCAAACCCTTGCGTTGGGGGTTTTGCATTAATTTGACTGGATAAAAGTGTAAATCTGTAGAGATTTAACAGCATGAAATTTTTCCAAGAATATTTTCTTCCCCCACTGATGTCGTTGCACAAAATATCTTTTGTTGCGTGTTTTTTTCTCGGCACTTCTATCAGCAGATAAATGAAGGTGCATTGTAATAATAATAATAATAATAATAATAATAATAATAATAATAATAATAATGGAACTATTCAGGTTACGCAAACAGTATTGCAGGAGGGGATGTGAAAGAACCATGCAAACTTCATTTCCACAGCAGCTCAGCTCATTACCGATTTACCGATATTGTTCCTTGTCTCCCAAAATATCTGCAGCTTCGCATTTTGAAGCCGGGGGACCGCCCTAACATGGCCATATACCTGTGGCAGTGTATTCCCAAGGGACTTGTGAATTCTCGGCTGTGTTGCCATTATATTTGGCCTCAGTTTATTGTGTACCAGAAACCCTGTTCCGAATTATTTTTCCACCTTTTTTGCAATTTCTTTTAAAAAAATGAAGAGAAGAGTGGTGTCAATGATGTTCTTGTGAACACTTCCTTCAGCCGGTTGTATATTCAAAGCACTGTACATGGGATCAGATGCACTGTAAGATATGTCAGATGGCATTAGCCAAATCTATTTCACGTTACTGTTGGAAGGATAGTACTTTGGGCAGGTCTGAATTAAACACGAGCGTCCAAAGCAAGGCACTCCCATTGACTCCAGCGCCCAGCACCAATAAATATTTGGAGGTGCACCTGACATATTATTTAGGTGGTTTTCATCATATGCCTGAAGACACACCTGTACCATGGCTTCTGAAACATGAGATACGTTTTAGGACCACCCCTGGTCTCTCTTGATTGCCATTTGTTGTAAACCAATCTTAACTTTTAAAAAAAAAAAAATTGTTGCAAACCGCCCTGGGACCTTACTGGGAAGAGCGGCAAGAAATCAGATTATCTACTTATCAAGCTAACTGGCTGTGAAATGGATACCAATCCTAGCACTGATGGAATTTTTGCTTCGTGCTACGTTGAATGAAACCCCTGGAGTCCAACAGTATCTGGAGGGAATCAAGACGACTATTTATAAAACCATACAGTTTAAAATAAAATAAAAGCAAACTTGAACGGTTTAAAGGCACTTAAAAAACACCAAGAACGTTAAAAGCAGTGGCGAATTTCAAGGTTGCCAGGGCCAGTATCTACCAGCCATCAAATTCCTTGGTAAGCAAGGATGCCTTTATAAATTTCCGCTGGGAGCCAATAATGAGGGAGACAGATGCAGCTCATTGGGGAGGGCAGGGAACAAACATGGAGCCACCACCAAGAAGGCCCTGTCATGGGTCAAGGCCAACTGGGCAGTAGCAGGAGGCAGCAGCACCACTGGGTCTCCCCTGGCCAACTGTAGGGCCCAAGATGGTTGTTACTGGGAAAGTCGCTATTTTAGGTACTTGAGTCTCGTACTATTTAGGGCTTTTTACTCTAGCACTGACACCTTGGGCTCAGTAGCTCACTGGCAGCCAGTGCAGAGCTGCAGCGTCCAGACCAACTTCAAGGGCAGCCCCGTAAAGAGCACACTGCAGTAGTCTAAGTGGGAGGTCACTACGGCATGGGCAACTGAGGTCACGCTATCCGAGTCCAGGGGCATCCACAGCTGGCAAACCGGCCTAAGCTGGGCATAAATACTCCTGGCCACAGACACCAAATAATAATAAACAAACAAACAAACAAACATATTATTATTATTAATATCCCACCCATCTGGCTGGGTTTCCCCAGTCACTCTGGGTGGCTTCCAACAAAATACTAAAAATGCAATAAAACATCAAACATTACAAACTTCCTAAAAGATGGCTGTCTTCAGATATCTTCTAAAAGTCAGATAGTTACAGTATTTGCTTGACATCTGGTGGGAGGGCATTCCACAGGGCGGGTGCCACTACCGAGAAGGCCCTCTGCCTGGTTCCCTGTAACCTCACTTCTTGCAGGGAGGGAACCACCAGAAGGCCCTCGGAGCCGGACCTCAGTGTCCGGGCAGAACGATGGGGGTGGAAACGCTCCTTCAGGTATACTGGACTGAGGCCGTTTAGGCCTTTAAAGGTCAACACCAACACTTTGAATTGTGCTTGGAAACGTACTGGGAGCCAATATAGGTCTTTCAGGACCGGTGTTATGTGGTCCCAGCAGCCACTCTCAGTCACCAGTCTAGCTGCCGCATTCTGGATTAGTTGCAGTTTCCGGGTCACCTTCAAAGATAGCCCCCCGTAGAGCGCATTGCAGTAGTCCAAGCGGGAGATAACCAGAGCATGCACCACTCTGGTGAGACATGAGAGTGTCTGGTGCACAATACTCCCGGATCTGTGCAGCCCCTCCCAGAACACACCTAATATTTTATTTCCAGGAATCAGCCACCCTCAGCTCCCCACTGCTTCCAGGGACTGGTCTAACACCTTCACAGCCTCTCCTGATTCAGAGGGAACGGAGAGATAATAGCTGCTTGTCCACAGCATATAGGTGACATCATGCTCCAAATCCCCAAATGACAGCTCCCAAGGGGTTCCTATAGATGTTGAACAGCACAGGCGACAGAATGGACTAATTTCCAGGACCCACAACTCAAACGCCATGGGGCCAAGCAACAATCTCCTAGGACTAATTTCTGATCCTATTGGCTTCCAAATATATACAGGCAAGACTACCTGGGAGACTGTCTGTCATACATTTCTACACTTGGGGGACAATTTGCTTAAAATACCGCTCCATCTTGGTTGTACTGTACGTGCAAATCACAAAACGTTGCTACTGCAGAGTGCAACTGCATTTTCAGGGCAGGACTGAACTGAGAAAAACAATTGCAAATTATATTTTTGGTATTTGCCAAATCCACACTCTGCAACAGCGGCGTAACGCTAAAGTATCTCAGCAGCCTAAACTGCAGTGCTATAAAGGCAGGAAGCACCATTGAACCTATAAGCTTGTTATCTGGTTAGGGAGGAGAGAGCCAAACCATAAATCCTGTTCGGGCGACACTCTGAGACAAACCTTGGTTTAGTTTAGCAAGGCACGGCAGTTGAAAGGACCAGGGAGGAGCAAAGTTCTGCTAAGGGAGACTGACCTTTGCACAGTCCCAGTAACAACCCTGACGGATGAATGGCTGGCACTTGCAAATATAGCATTAGGCAATCTGAGCAGTTTCAAAATTTCTTTGTTTACTAAGCATGAGCGAAGCAAACATGCTAAACTATTACCAATCTCCGATGCAGCGGGGAATTTTCCTGGTGCAAACTGAAAAAATTCTGATTTACGGGGGGGGGGGGGGGAGAGAGAGAGAATCTGATTCAAACTTTTTCCAGGAAATCCATACTTGTGATGTGCAGAATGCAGAAAACAGGGAGCACCTCCTTTTTTCCAAGACCCACTTCTCCCATCCAATGGCATGCAAGATCAGTACTGCTGCAAAGGAGTGGGTATCAGCCGGCTTAGATGAATCCCAAGGTCAGATTTAAGGTAAAGGTAAAGGGACCCCTGACCATTAGGTCCAGTCGTGGCCGACTGGGGTTGCAGCGCTCATCTCTCTTTACTGGCCGAGGGAGCCGGCGTACAGCTTCCGGGTCATGTGGCCAGCATGACTAAGCTGCTTCTGGCGAACCAGAGCAGCGCACGGAAACGCCGTTTACCTTTCTACTGGAGTGGTACCTATTTATCTACTTGCACTGGTGTGATTTCAAACTGCTAGGTTGGCAGGAGCAGGGACCGAGCAACGGGAGCTCACCCCGCCGCAGGGATTCGAACAGCTGACCTTCCAATCAGCAAGCCCTAGGCACCTTGGTTTAGACCACAGAACCACCCGTGTTTGTACGGGAGCACAAAATACCTTCACGGGGAACTCCCCCAACAGCCCAATGAGAAGCAACCATAAAGGCATAAGAAAGGACATGCTGGATCAGGCCAGTGGCCCATCTACTCCGGTAGGCTCACAGTGGCTGACCAGCAAAAGCAGGATTCGAACACAGGAGCCCCCTCCCCTCCTGCGATTTCCAGCGACTGGTATTCCAGAAGCATTGCTGTCTCCAAAAGTGAAGGCAGAGCACAGTCATCATGGCTAGGAGTCGTGGAAAGCTCTCTCCTCCCTGAAGGTCTAATCATCCAAGCCATGGTTAGGCAAACTAAGGCCCGGGGGCCGGATGCGGCCCAATCACCTTCTAAATCCGGCCCGCGGACAGTCTGGGAATCAAGAGTGTTTTTACATGAGTAGAATGTGTCCTTTTATTTAAAATGCATCTCTGGGAACTCCTACTTGGGGACTTCCCTGGCTTTTTTTCTGGCCCACGTAGGACCAGTCTGGATAGTTAGCCCTGGTGAAGACTTGACATTTTCACCCCCCCTAAAAGTTCGTGAGTTTCTGCTGAAATGAGGCTGCATTTTAATGTTGTATTTTAATCTTGTTTTTCAAGTTGTATTTCAATCAATTGTTTTATATCTGGTGTTAGCTGCCCTGAAGGCTGGGGAAGGCAGGGTATAAATAAAATTTATTATTATTATTATTATTATTACTACTACTACTACTATTGGTTATTTGTGGGGCCTGCCTGGTGTTTTTACATGAGTAGAATGTGTGCTTTTATTTAAAATGCATCTCCGGGTTATTTGGGGGGCATAGGAATTTGTTCTTCTTTTTTCCCCAAAATACAGTCCGGCCCCCCACAAGGTCTGAGGGACGGTGGACCGGCCCCCTGCTGAAAATGTCTGCTGACCCCTGGACTCTAATCATCAAAGCCATCTGAGTTGGTGGCCCCACTGCCTACTGTGGAAGGGAGTTCCACAGTTCAACTATGTCCTGCATGAAGGGCTTTCTCTCATCTACCCTTAATCTTTCAACATCCAGCTTCGTTGAAAGC